CACTACATTGATATGAAAAACATGTTAATGTTATAGACCATACAAGAAGAAATCTATTGGACTGGCCAAGGCGTTTTCATATTATTTGTGGAATTGCTAGAGGGCTTCTTTATCTACATCAAGATTCTCGATTGAGGATCATCCATAGAGATCTTAAAGCAAGCAATGTTTTGCTTGATAGTGAAATGAACCCCAAAATTTCAGATTTTGGCATGGCTAGAACGTTTGGAGGAGAACAATTTGAGGGAAACACAAGGAGGGTGGTTGGAACCTAGTAAGTCCTCTTTCTATACTACCTAATTTACTACAAAATCCCTATTAATATAATTTGTCTCAACCTAAGGGGAACACAAAGTGATGGTTGCAACTTAGTGAGTCCTCACTCTATACTAACTTACCACAAATACCTATTGATATAATTTGTCTCAAATAATTTTGTTGCAGTGGTTATATGGCACCAGAATATGCAATTGATGGGCAATTCTCTATAAAATCTGATGTTTTCAGCTTTGGAATACTATTGTTGGAAATAATAAGTGGAATGAAGAATAAAGGGTTTTACCATGTCAACCACAATGTTAACCTTATTGGCAACGTAAGTATCAAGATTCATGATGTCCTTTCTTACTTTCCTTGAATTAGAACATGACAGAAAGTTTCTACTATGTATTTAGGCATGGAGATTGTGGAAGGAGGGAAATCCTTCAAAACTGATTGATTCATTTGTAATGGAGTCTTGCAATCTATCTGAAGTATTAAGGTGCATCCACATTAGTCTCTTATGTGTTCAACAATACCCTGAGGATAGGCCAAATATGTCATTTGTGATTTTGATGCTGGGTAGTGAGACTGCGCTGGGACAACCCAAAGAACCTGGTTTCCTTGTTGACAAGAAATCACTTGAAACAAATTCTTCATTTATCAAACTTGAATCATCTTCAACTAATGAACTTACCTTGTCAGTATTGGAGGCTCGATAAAGGCTTATTATTCGAATTCTACATGTTTTATGGTGCTGATAATATTAACTGAATAATATGTACGAATACATGCTTTACATATAACTTAACTATTATTTTAGTTTGAACTTAAATGTATCAAGGTAACTACTTTGTCAATTTTCTATTAGTCATATATATATATGGTTGAATATTTGTCTCATAGGGCATGTTTTGGTGGATAGAAACTTAAATGATAATTATCAATCTTTTATGCTTAGAATGGTTAGTTAAAATACACTTAGCATGATGTTCCAAAAAAACAGAAAAAAAAAAAAAAAAA